CCTTTTCGAAGATGCGGCTGCTTTGCCGCTGTCAAACAACCAGAGCGCATGACTGACATGAAGTGAACAACAAGATCGGGATGTCAGACCAGACACCACATTCGCGAACAACTAATCGCACACAGCATGCAGCAGGTATGCAGGCAGGTGTGCAGCTGGTGTGCGAAAGGTCATTTACCCCACCATCTTGTTGATTTACACATGTCAAATCACTCATCCCCTTCCTTTCTTTCGATCCATCGATCAGCACCTGCATAAACCACACGCAACATCTCCCTCACCACCCGTCTCACCTTCTGCTCGTGTGATCCGCCTCGGCATCATCTTCAACATTTGGTTCAGGCGTTCTTCGTTCACTCAAAGATTGACTGGAGTTCTGGAGTTGTGCCCTTATACGCTCTTGAGTAAGCAACCCCCCTCCCCAAAGACCGCTTTAACGCTCGAACTCCCAAGACTGCGATTCCCCTGTCCTCACAACCAGCAAGAGTCAGCCAAACCCCTCAAGTCAACCGCGGCTCAAGTTTGGAAATAAGACAACCAAACTACAAAACAAGCACATCACCGGGGGGCCACCGATTGCACGGCACGACAACAGTCACAAGCGACGCCATGGAACGAGAGCTGGACGATGGTGACACGAAGCGACACATGGCCCTGCTTGTGAGCGGCATGACCGAAGCGTTTGCGGCACTCGAGGCGCAGGTACCTCCCGAACACATCGAGACGCTTGCGCGTCTTATTGTCGTCAGCATGAGCGGGCCGCATCGCGTGTACCACTCGTCACACCATGTGTTTGCGGTTGTCCCCGAGGACGCCGCCTCAGACCCACTGGCATACCTAGCAGCAGCCTTTCACGACGTGGTCTACCTTCAAGTGGACGATGGCATCGCACCGTGCTTTCTGCCTATCCTCCACCGCGCACGGCTCCTGCCTTTGCCCTCAGAGGAGGCAACAGCGCGTTCGCAGGCGCAGGGTGCCGGCCAGGACGATACCACGCTGCAACAACAACGACAACAAGAACAAGAAGAACAAGAACGAGAAGACGAGGCCGACGAGGATGAGGAGCGCTTGGGCAAGCGCGACCAAAACCACGCCGCCGATACTGCAACCGACATCACCAAGGAGACCGGTCATCATGATCCCCAAGTTCAGCAGATCGTCGACAGCCCACGCTTGATGGCGGATGCGACAGGCCGGTATGACAAGCGACGGGAGGCACTGCGCCGCCCGTGTGAGCTTGCCCTCCTCGCCGACACTCTGGTTGAGTACGAGCACCCGTGGCAGCCTTGCCGTCGCCGCCGCCGCTACCGCCGCCACGCTAGGCTTAACAGCATGGACAGCAACACCAGTTGTGCCTCGAGCTCAACTCAAGCCTCGGACCTCTCCTTCTTCCCTCCTTCCCCCTCCTCCCCTTTGCCCCTGTCCACGACATCATCACCACTGTTGACACCCTCCGCCCCGTCGCCGCCGCTGCAGGCTGCAACGGATTCCCGACGTGAGCACAGAGAGCGTGCCGTGGATGCTGCCGGCATCAGCTGCACGCGTGCTGATCCAGTCTTACCCACAGGCGCAGCAGAGGTGCTTTCTTGGTGGCACGAGGATGACGACTGTTCTTGCGGCTGCAGCCCTCGTGGCAAGGAGGGCAAAGGCGATGAGAAAGGCTGGGGCTTGGCTGGTGCGAAGAACCCTCGCAGGAGCAACGGCAGCAACAACGACAGCGGCAACGACAGCGGAAATGACAGCAGTGGTTACAGTCGCCACCAGCACTGTGTGTGGTCGTCCTCCTGTGACTGCGCGATGGCCCAAGCGGCGGCAGCAGCAGAAGACCTGTGTGAGAGACGGGCACGGGCACAACTGTTGTGCTATCGCCTCTTCGGACACTCGTCTGGGGAGCTGCTGCCGTTCGAGATTGGTGCACAGGGCCTGAACGAGTTTCTGAGCTGCGTGGTTGCAATGGACATGCTCGCGCCCTGGCTGACAGAGGTGCAGCTCCTGTACGTGTGCACATGCATCGAGGCCACCATTCCTTTCCGGGTGCAGGCATCTGTTGATCTCCTGTACGAGCGATGCACGTCTGCACTCACAGATGTGCTGCGAGCCGAACATGAGTGTAACGGTTGGCGGTATGACCAACAGCCACAGCGGCAGCCGCAGCGGCAGGAGAAGGAAGACAAGCAAGAGGAGCTGGGGCAGCAAGAGCCAAGGCAGCAGCAAAGGCAGCAGCGCCCCAGACACTTGTGGCAAATGACGCAGCAAGAGCTGGTGGTGGCGTTCAGCAAGGTGTGCAGGGGCGGGAGCTGTAGGAGCTGTCACAGCTGCACCAGCTGCGACGAGGCTTGCACCTGCTGGTTGGATACGGCAGCAAAGATGCTGGGTGAGGAGGCGGTGGCGATGGCCTGTGCAATGGCCGCTCGAGACGTGAGCAACTTTGCTGCCGTTGACACGCGCAGTTTTGTGATCAACACGTGGAAGTTGCTGCCAGAGCTCAACACCTCGCTCCGCGATCGCCGCGGGTTCACGCTGAAGAACTGGATGGCTGCACTCGCAGGCAACCTGAGCTACTTTGGATTTCTACTCAGCAACCCGTTTCTTGTGTTCCCGCGGCATGGCCAGTGTCGGAGCGACGACGAGCAAGCTGTCTTGCTCGCACGCACCTTCACCAACCTGTCGCGTGGGCGCGCCTACGTTGGCGCACGCTTCGTCACAGCCACCATCAGCCACGCGCTGCTGACGTTGGCTGGTGTGGGCGTGGACACAACCCCTGCGTGGTCGCTGTTTCCAGGCGGTGTTGGCGGCGCTCTGCCTGATTGCGGTGACGACGACGGTTCGGATGGATGGGCCAGTAAGAGTGGCAGTGATAACGATGATGATGATGATGATGATGATGGTGATGGTGATGGTGATGGTGATGGTGATGATGATGGTGATGATGATGGTGAAGACGTGCTGCTTGATAGTGAAGACAGTGGCGTGCAGCATACCAACGGCAATGACTTTGATGGCGACCGCCGGCGTGCTGGCAGCTACGCACCACATCAGCCACACTTGTTGCCTGAAGCAGTGGAGAGTAAGGGCAACATCTCTTGTAAACAAGGAGACGCTGGGGCAGCAAACAGCCAAAATCAGCAGCTCAGTGACAGCACCGACACGCCGTTTGATTTTTGCAACGAGCGTGCACCCGTGTGCGAGTACGTGGACGCCCTGCTGCGGTTTGGCTTTAACAGCCCTGACACGTGTAACCTTGATCAGCCGGCGTGCGAGGCATCGTTGCGAGTGTACCGGGAGCTGCTGAAGCAGCACGCGGGGCAAGCGTTGGCACCTGATGCCAGCTGCGTTGAGCTGTGTGTGCACAAGTGCTTGGCGTATCACCGGGGCGAGTTGGGTGCAGAGAGCTTCCTCCGCGGCATTCCCGTGGACGTGGTTGATGTGGTTGCCGAGCACGCGTTGGCGGGCGTGCTGTCTGACGAACAGGACGACGAGGTTGCACTGTTTATTGAATCGCTGCCACCAACATCAACTACAGCAGCTGTGCCCGCCAGCGCACAGGAGCAGAGCACGGTGGCATCACCAGGCGGAAGGAGACTGAGCCCAACAGGCAAAGTGACCCTTCGTGCTACGCGGCGCATGCTGCGGCGTCGCCGGCAGGTGTCTGCGTTGATCAGGAATGGCACGACGTCCCTTCCTGCAACAGACCCGGTCACGTTCTCCGAAGGGTGGCCCGCACCATCACCTTCCATATCCGCTGTCGTGCTGCAGCGCGCACTCAGTGCCAGACGCCGCGGCCGCACACGCTCGACCACCACCTCGCTCCATGCAGTCGAAGCGAGTGTCGCGTAGTGTTGTGCACTTGCAATGTGTGTGTGTGTGTGTTTGTGCGTGTGTGTGCGTGCGTGCGTGTTGTAGTCGTTCATGTGTGTGGGTGTGGGTGTGTGGATGGTATGTTTTTGCACGTCTGCACGTGTGGGTGTGTGCGAGTCTACATACATGCTGACATGTGCGTGTGTGGATGGATATGTGTGCATTTGGGGGGTCTGTCTCTGCTCATTGACTTGGGGTGTATGTACAATCGCTGCTTTCGATCGCTCTGGTTCCTTGGGTGAGTTATGTTACATCACTTGAGTCGCTTGTTTGTGCGATCAAGCAAGTTCTCGACACTTGTACGAAGCAGCTTTCCTGCTTCCCTGCTTCCCCTCAATGCAACGGCAAATATGCAACGTCTTCAGCGATGCTTTGTGCTGATTTCTGCTTTTCTGTGTCTCCCTGTTTGTGTTTGTTGGTTCTTCTGTGTGCGTATGCTGCGTGTGTGGCGGAGTATCACGGGGACTTTCACTACTACAACAAGGACGATTGACAGAAGCTGATAGATCAAAAGGACTAAAGGAAAGAGCGATTTGTACACATCACAATCACATCATCACATCGCAACCAAAATCGAGCGTCAATCATCAAACAAAGTCGCAAGCGACACCATAAATTGCGTATCTGTTCCACGTGGTTTTGCGGCATCCAATACACGGCGAGCAAAGCAAGCGAACAAAGCAAGCAAGCGCGATGGCAAAGTCGATTCGGTCCAAGATCAAGCGGAAGTTCCGCACAATCAAGCGACAGAAGATCAAGGCAAAGCAACAAGCTGCGCTCCAAGGTATGGTGGTCGCGCATCGTGTGCCTGCGATCACTGTATGCGATCATTGCGTGGGTATTATGTGCGTGTGCGTGTGTGGTTTTGTGTGTGCACGTATTTCACGTTTGTGTGTGTGTGTGTGTGTGTGTGTGTGTGTGTGTGTGGTTTTGTGTGTGCACGTATTTCACGTTTGTGTGTGTGTGTGTGTGTGTGTGTGTGTGTGTTTGTGTGTGTGTGTGTGTGGACACAACGCATGTGCATGTGCACGCGTGCATATGCGCTTGCCTGTGCATGTGCAAACGCTTGAGGCCCCCTCCCCCTTGACTGACGAGCGTCCTCTGTTTCACCTTGCTGTTCACACAGCTACAATCAAGGATGAGATGAAGACAGAGGCAGACACCGGTGAGTTCGGAGGTTGCCTTCAATGTCCGTGGTAATACTTCATCATGTTGTGCAGCCTGGCGAGTCGTGGCCACCATCGGCGTTGCGCTCACGCGATGCTCCATTCTACCACACATGTGTGCAGTCGATCAAACGGCAAGCGATGCTGCCGCTGCCACCAAGGTTGCGGAGAGCGCCGCGCAGGACGCCAGCAACACCAACACAACAACCACCAAAGACACAGCCGAGGCATCGAGCAAGGATGCTGAGAAGGAAGACAGCGCAATGGATATTAGCACGACAGACAAGAAGAGCGGCAAGAAGGACAGTGAGCCCAGCGGCATGTCAAGGGTAAGTGATTGTGTGTGCGTGCGTGCGTGTTGTGTGTGCGTGCGTGTGTTTTTGTTTGTGTGCTTGTGTGTGTGAGTTTGTGTGTTTGTGTGCTTGTGTGTGTGTGTGCGTGTGCGTGTGCGTGTGCGTGTGCGTGTGCGTGTGCGTGTGTGCATGATCTGTGATGTGTCATGTGTCATGTGTGATTGTGCGTACTTTGCACCCATCACCGTCCAGCCTGTTCTCTTTTGCAATGTCTTCGTCTCACCACTCGTTGCGCTTTCGTATTGGTACCGTCGTTCGGCGCCATGCAGACACAACTGAAGAAGTACCGTGCAGGCCTGTTGCGGAAGAAGAAGGCAGATAACATCGCAAAGCAGCGCAAGCGCGAGAAGAAAAACAAGCAGCAGCAGCGCCGCCGCCGCCGCCGTTGAACAGAGATAGGAGACGTGTGATGGTGTACAGCTGTCCGCATGCGTTGTGTTTGTGTGTTGTGTGTTGCGTATTGAGTGTTGCGTTATGTTGTCTCGTTGTGTGTACGTGTGTGTGTGTGTGTACGTGTACATGTGGGTGCGTGTGCGCTACCCTATGCACCGCACTTCCTTCTCTCTGTCGACGGCCGCACCGCTGTGTGGAAGCGTATGTGTGAAAGTGTGGGTATCATGTCACGTTCCGTCGCCTCATGGAGACAGATGTGCTCTTTTTTTCAGTGACACATGCTCAAGGTGGTGTTGGTTTTGTGTGGTCTTTCTTTGGTGGTCTGCCTGCTCTTTCGATGTTGACAATTGCTTTGCCTCAGCCTGTTGTATTCGATTGATCTGTTATCTCCCGACATTGTTCGCACGCGTCGAAGTGGGCTCTGTGTGTGTGTGTGTGTGTGTGTGTGTGTGTGTGTGTGTGTGTGTGTGTGTGTATGTGTGTGTGTATGAGGAGAGATAGTTTCACACATGCGTGAAGAAGAAAAGAATACACAAAAGAACCCCTCAAGGCATACATGGGAAGTGACGGCATAAGTTTACGGATGACATGTTGGTTTGCACAAAACGAAGCAAATAGCAAGCAACGGTGAGCACAACACCACAACACGACAGCCTGAATCGTCACATGCTGTCACAGTTGTATATATACACAAAGTCCATAACATGACATAATATACACAGGCTAGAAGTTGAGTAACGACCGCCGCATGTTGGTGGACAAGGTGCAGCCACCCCCCAACAATCACGCCCTCTAGTAACGGCTTGATGGTGCACCACATCACATCAAACCACGTGGCATCACGCCACGCACCCCACCACATGTCGCAGCACATCCCATTCAACACCACCTCACACCGCATCAGATGCTGAGCTCATCCTGCAGTCCGTAGTCGTGCAGCTGGTACGACTTTGTCTTTGCTGCTCGGTTCTCGCGTGTCAGCGTGCCGCGTCGCCGCCGTCGAACAACAATCCCACCATCATCACCATCACCATTGTTACCATTGTCATCGTTGTCTGCTTGGCCATAGGACGATTCAAGGCGTGTCAGTGCCGCCAACAACTGCTGGCTCTTTGCACGGTGGGCTGGATCCACGCCCATTCGCCCATCACTGGCATCGGCACCATCAATGTCGTCACCATCATCAATGTCATCATCATCATCATCGTCGTCATCATTCCCCTCACCCCTCTCGCCACTGTTAGGTGCGCTGTGCCGCTGTGTGTGCGCGTGCTGTCCTGCATCATCCCCCACCACCCCGCCGCCAACACCACCGCCCGTGTTCTTGTCCCCGGCAGCAATGCTCCCGTCGAGCTGCGCAAGCGCCAGTGCCAACTCCTCCAAATCAATTACATCGCCGCCGCCCACACGTAGGTCATCCAGCTCAATCCCAGCCTCATATGTGCCTCCATCGCCCCCGCTGCTGCTGCTGCTCGCCGTGGCGGTGGCAGTGGTGGCAGTGTTGGCGGTGGCGGCGATTGCGTCGGGGCCGAGGGTGGAGGCGCGGCTGGGAAGATACAGGGCAGCATCGCCACGGCGAAGAAACATCTGTGACAGCCGCTTCTTCACGCGCGCGCTCGCCCCGCGCAGGCGGACAGGCTCGCTGGTGCTGTCGGCGGCCGGCGGTGCTGTCGTTGCCGTGGACGCGGCGGGTGTTGTCGTCAGCGTGGCGGTAGATGGCGTGGGCGATGTTGCGGCAGAGGTGAACGCTGTCGTCGTCGTCGTCGTCGTTGTTGTTGTTGTGACAGCGGACGGGGCGGGGGATATGCACATGCCTGGATCGTCTGGCGGCACGAGCACGGACGACGACGACGACGCTGCCGGTGGTGGTTGTTGTTGTACTGAGGACTGGGCAGGAGCACCTGCGATGGTGTGTGCAAGTGCGTGTGTGTGCGTGCGTGTGTGTGTGTGTGTGCGTGTGCGTGTGTGTGTGCGTGCGTGCGTGTGTGTGTGTGTGCAAGTGTGCAAGTGTGTGTGTGTGTGTGCACATGTGTGTGTGTGCAAGTGTGTGCGCGTGAGCGTGTTAGTGGGAGCAAGGCATTGGTGTGGGTGGTGGGTAAGCAAGCTGACAAACGAGAACCCGGCGAATGCACACTCACACAGCGACTCAAAGCGTGCTTGCTTCGCTGCATCAAAGCATGCATGGCGCCTTTACAACACATGCGCAACCCTCCCCCGACTGCACTTTGCATCACACCACAAGCACCACCAATAACATTAACACACGACCATTACATCTCCCCCACCACCACCACCAGCAGCAGCGTGCCACCACGACACTGCCGTGTACGCACGTGCGGTGATGGGCCCTGCGGTGGTGAAATCGGCGGCGGGCGCAGCGATGCTGGGGCGGCGGCGGCGCAGACGCGAAGAGATGGTGCCTCGAATCGTCCTGGCAGCCATCATGAGTCAGCGTGCGTGAGAGGTGGGGGAGGGGATGGTAGGCGAGGGGGAAGAGGGGAGGATGAACACGAGGAACCAAACAAGTGCACATAAGTACACAGGAAAACAAGCAGGCAAACACGCACAGACACACAGACAAGTACACACACAAACATACACAAACATACAGACACACACAAACACACAGACAAACAGACAGACAGACAGACAGACAGACAGACAGACAGACAGACAGACAGACACACACACACACACACACACACACACACACTCACACACACACACACACCTCTTGTGCATGGTTGGCGCCTGGTCCTCGGGCACCTGCGCCAACCGTGCTGCCACCTCCTTGGACGTGAGCCGCTTCCTGCCCGCATCAATCTGTGCAGTCACGTCCGCAATGCCATCGCTGGCAAGCTGCGACACACGCGCGTCCCCGGTGGCACCAGCCATGCGCTCTGCTTCGTGAAAGTGCTGCAGACTCGTCTCGTAGTCGCCGGCCGCGCAGCACACGTGCCCCAGCCGCACGTGGGATGCCTTCTGCTGCTCCTCGTCCCCAATTTCCCGCGCTAGGGCCAGGTGGTGGCGGAGGGATGCCAGCGTGTTGTCTGCGTCGCCAGCTGCCTGATAGCACGTGCCCATGTTGTAGTATGTGATGGCCAAGCCGCGCCGATCACCGGCCTTCCTGCACAGCTTGATGTCGCGCTTGTAGCAGCGCAGCGCACGGGCGAGGTTGTCCTCAGCACGGTACACGTTGCCCAGGTTGCACAGGGTGCGGGACATGAGGGCCTTGTCCTTGCGCTGCTCGGCAAGCAGCAGCCGCTTCTTGTGCCAGTGCTCGGCGCGATCAAGCGCGTGCGCCTGTTCGCAGAGCGAGGCAAGTCGGCCGTAGATCTTCGCCAGCTGCGCGTGCCGCCCTTCCTTGCGTGCAAGCACCGCGGCTCGCCCGAGATACGCCTCTGCTTGACGAAGGTACGTCGCTTGCAGATCCGCCTCGTCCGTGGACAGGCACGCCTGGCGGTATGCGTTGCCGAGGCTCTCTGTGGCCAGCAGCTGCAGTCGCTTGTGCTTCAGCAGCTCACCAATCTGCAGCTGCTTCTCAAAGCACTTGATGCCCTCGTTGAGCGATCGCAGGCACGCGAACACGCTGCCCATGTTCCCGTACGCCAGCGCCGTGCGCAGCGGGTCGTTCATCTCCTTTGCAATCCTCAGCTCCGCTTCGTGGTGCTGCCCTGCCATCTGCGGGTTGCCGAGCGCGAGGAAGCTCTGTCCAAGGAGCCGATGCAGTCCAAGCTCTTGCAGCTCTTGAGATCCTGCAGCTGTGGTGGCTGTGCCATCTTCCACAGAGGCGGCAATGTTATCTTTGTCGTTGTCGATGCTGGCTTTGCTGCTGCCCCTGCTGCTGTTGTGGCTGTCATGGCTGCCGTGGCTGCCGTGGCTCCCGTGGCTCAGCCTCCTGAGTGTCCCTGTCCACCTTCGTTTGGATCGCTTCTTTGACGACCTTTTTTCCCGCTTTTGGGGTTTCCTGCTGCCATCGCCTTTGTTTCCGCCCTCTTGACTTTCTGCTTGATCAAGATCGTGCTCCGTCACTGCAGTGCTGCTGTTGGTGGTGGGACCATGACCTGGTGACTGCTTGTTTGCCTCGTGCTCCGTCCAGCGTCTCGGAACTGCCACTTGGTCTGCCCACGTTTGCTCGTCCTCTGAGGCGGAGTTGCCGCTCGTCGCGTTCTTGTCAATGTTGTTGTTGTTGTTGTTGGCGCGGGAAGGGGAAGTGCCTGACGACGGCGAGGATGATGCTGCCACTGCTCTTGGCGCTTCTTCGGGATCAAGCAAGCAGCGCAGCGCCTGCTGCAGGTATGGCACGGCTGCCTCTGCCCGCCCATTTGCCAACAGCTGTCGACCCGCTCGTGCAGACAGCGCAAACCGCTGCTGGTGCTGCTGGTGCTGCTGGTGCTGCTGGTGCTGCTGGTGCTGCTGGTGCTGCTGGTGCTGCTGGTGCTGCTGGTGCTGCTGGTGCTGCTGGCGGTGCTTCTCCGCCATCATCATGATCGCGTGTGGGTGGTTGTTGTGCTTGCTTCTTGCTCTCTCGTCACAACTCTCCTCGTCCTTCTCTTGCTGGTTGCCTGATCGTCGTTGTCGTAGAAAAGTCTGCACAACGCAAACAGCTTTCGTCAACACCTTCACAGGCGTTGTGGAGAAATGGCGATATTTCCAACAACATTTCTGTTGGTTGGCAGGCGCAAACGGGGCGAGCAAACACAAAACAACAAACAACAACAGCAGGCAGGTGGTGTGATTGGTGTGGATGGCAGTGTGGAGCTGTGTGCAGTGCCTGCAGTTGCCATGCCTTGCAAGCCCTGGAATGCACGCAACTCCTCGTAAACACGTACATGCACACACATACACGTACACGCATACACACCTACATGCATACACACACATTCACGTTCGCTGAAAGAAACTGACGCTGGGCTTCGTACACGTGCAGTGACCGTGAATTGATTGAAGGGGGTTTGCACAGTGGCGGCAGTTGGACATCATGAGCGATGCACCGGAACCTGCGCAGCCACAGTTGCACACAGTTGAACAACAACAGGACTCAGACGCCTCACAAACGGGACCAGTGCATGTGGTGAGTGCAAGTGTGTCTGTCGTTGTGGTTGTGGTTGATTTATGGTTGTGTGTGTGTGTGGGGGGGGGGAGGCAGTCTTGTGTGTGTGTGTGTGTGTGTGTGTGTTTGTGTGTGTGTGTGTGTGCGTGAATGTATGTATGAGTGTGTATGGGTTTCTCGTCGGGACGCTAGTCTCTGTTGTGGGCTTGCCACCAGTGGCAGCATCATGTCATGCCCCTCACTGCCGCGTGCATGGTTCCCCCATTTTCCAATTGCTTGACCATGTTCGGTAGACGGCAGGCAATGAGGTGCACGTCATCACTGCGGAGCAAGATCAGGCCAGGAAACAGGGCCCACTCGAAACAACGCTCCTGGTTCGTTCATGTGGTACAACGTGTAAAGGTGTGGTGCGAATCGCAATTCGCGTGTTCTTGCGTGTGCTTATGTGTGTGTGTGTGTTTGTACGCGCGCACAATCCACCTTGGTCTTGGTACCAACCAGGTCAAGGTGCTTGCTCCGTTGCTCAAGACTGACTGGTAATGAACGACGGCGTATGCATGCTCTTGCAGGAGTACTTTCAGCAGGCAGATCAGGACGGTGACGGTGTATTGTCGTTTGAGGAGTTTGCACAGGTCTTCACACCAGAGCAACTTGGTGTTTCTCTCACCCAAGAGGACCTCAAGGTCAGAGCAAAAGAGAGAGAGAGAGTGTGTGTGTGTGTGTGATTGTGTGTGTGTGTGAACGTGTGTGTGTGTGAACGTGTATGCGTTTACGTGAGGGAGTGTGCGTGTGCGTTTACGTGAGGGAGTGTGCTTGTGTGCGCGCGCAGTCGCATGGATGTCCGTGAGTCGTTGGCACACTCCGTGGCATCGCCCTTTCAATTGCTGCGATTTCCACTCATGGTGACTCCTGATGATTGCCTGCAATCCTTTTTCGTCCACAGGCGTTGTTTGATCTAGTGGACACGAACGGCAGCGGCACCATCGAGTATGCCGAATTTGGCCCACGTGCACGCGAGGTACAGCACACACACACACATACATACATACACAACATACACATACATACACATACACACACGCACACTCACACATACATACGCGCATGCACGCATTTGTGTTACTTGCGACTCCCCCCCCCACCCACACACACACTGCAACACGTGTTTGCAGCACCCATTCACACGTGAGTATCTCCCCTCCCCCTTAATCTCTCTTCCGAAAACCGTTGTGCAGGCGCTTGTGCAGAAGCTCTCTGCAAGCAGCACAACACAGGGGGACTGGCTGGAAATTTACTCGCGCACAGAAGGCATCTTGTACCTCAACAAGGTGCGCGCGTGGAGGTTTGAAGTGGTGATGGGTGATGGTGGGTGGTGCGCGCACGCTTGCGTGTGTGAAAAGCAATTTCTATGACGTGCTTCTGACCGCTCACACACACACACACACACACACACACACACACACACACACACATGCAGGCGACGGGGGAGGCGCAGTACGATCTGCCGGAATCGCACACGGGCAGCGAGGACGAGATTGTGGCAGACGCGTTTGCTTCACATTTCATGGTTTGTTGCGGCTGCCGTTGCTGCTGTTGAGCACGCACACGTGTATGGTTGTATGTGTGCATGCGTGCACGCACGCACGACCGTGCACCTATGTTTGTGTCTGCGTGTGTGCGCGCGCGCTCGGTGCACGCTCGCGTATGTTTTGCCATTTCGCACCCTACTGTGGGCTCAGTCATGCATGCGTTGATTTCCCATGCACCCTATATTGCTCCTTCGCTCGTCATCACAATCCATGTCCATATGACACTTGCTTTCTTAACAGTCGCGCGATCCAGCCAACACGGGGCTGGTGGACTTTAACACATTCTGCATCGACGTACGTGTGGTGTTGCGGAATGGGCAACGGGAGAATGGGGTGTCGTTGGACCACCGTTACGGTTTCTGAAGAACGTGTATGAACGCTCACAGTTTATGTGATTGACAAAGCGCCGAGCACCAGCCAGCCAGTCGATACTATGACCATCCACCCACACCCACCACAAATATCACCACCAACTGTTACCATCAGCACCATGACCACCATCGCCACCAATTATCACCTCCAATCTCACTCACTGCCACCACCACCACCACCACCATTCTCCCTTGCATTGACAGCTGCAAACGGATCAGCTTGGGCTGTTCCTGACTGCCGAGGAAGTGGAGGCAATAGTGCAGGTCCACCCGCCTGTTGATGAGCAAGGCACCATGAACTACATGACGCTTGCTCCACTCATGCGCAATTACGTCACCCAGCTCTATGCAGGGCGACAGCCCATCCCAGGTGCGCACACACCGCGTTGTGCATGTTGCCAACACTTGATTGATTTGCTTGGGTCTCTTTTTGAAAGGCATTGCGTGCGCGCCTGCATCTGTGATCAATTGCACGCCACCTCAAGCGCATCTTACCCCGTCCCCTCTCTTCCTTCTCCCCCCTCCTATTTTTAATTGCGCATCAGGCCATTGGGTGCGCCTTGTCTCGCGGCACTATGGCACGTTCTGGCTGAACAAGATGACGGGGAGCGTGCAGTCTGAGGTGCCCATGGATGTGATTCTGGCAGCACAGGCGGCTGAGGGCGGTGTTGTCCCGCCAGTCGGTACGTCCTTGCGTGCTGTTGTTGCTGGCGTCGTGGCGGTGGTGGTGGTGGTGGTGGCGATGATGTGGCAATCGCCTCTGGTCAAACCACCCCCCCCCCCCCCTCTGCTCCCATTTGCTCTGTTTCCTCTCCGCATCATAACCACCTCCGCCAACTGACACGGCCACTTCAACACTTTCCCCCATCTACCAGCCCCCCCCCCCTTCCCTCCCCCCCCTCTGCACCACTTCACCGTCGGCAGTGGAGGGCAGCAGCGCGGCAGATGCACAGCGGCTGCAGGAGCTGCTGGCGGAGGTGGAGCGGCTGAAGAAGCAAGGCGGTGACGCTGCGGCAGCAAAACAAGCACAGGACAAGGCGTGTGTGCGTGCGTGTGTGTGCGTATGTGTGTGGCGTTGTGTGGTTAAGGGATGGGTTTGTTGATGAATTGCCCGCAGTGTCCACGGTGGTGGTTTGGTGTTCGACGCATCTGCACTCCACCCGCACACGCTTTCCTTATCTCACGCACGCGCCCGCACTGCCCCTGGTTGTGGTAACAGGTTGCAGCGTTGGAGGAAAAAGTGAAAGCACAAGAGGAGGAGCTTGCTGCACTTAAGGAAGAGCGCGAGACACTCGCAACCGCACAAGGCGGGGTACGTCGCGTAGGCGGTGTCATGTGTGTGTGTGTGTGTGTGTGTGTGTGTGTGTGTGTGTAGGGATGTGGGTTCGTTTTGCGCTTGTGCGTTGGTTCGTTTTGCAATCGTGTGTGTGTGTGTGTGCTTGCTTGCACGCGTGACTGATCGCTCACGTGCACACACACCCCCCCCCCCCACATGGACAACCCCGCAATGCCACGCCCTGCCACCACAATTTGGTCAGGACCAGAAAGAGCTGTCAGATGCGCTGCGAGCGAAACACGAGCTGGAGCAGCAGCTGGCGCAGACGAAGAAGAAGGCCGAGGCGGACGTGACCTCGCTCTCAAAGCGCTTGACACAGGCAGAGGCGACGGCTGCGGCAGTGACGGCAGAACTCAACGAGACAAAGGCCGCTTTCGAGGTGCGCATGTGCTGGAGGGCACGGGAATAGGACAGGAGGTCGGGGTGTCGAGGTGGTATGAGGCTTCGTTTTGCGCGTGTATACTCAAACACATGCATGTGTGACAAGCGTATGCATGTGCGTGTGTGCGTGCGTGTACAGACACACAACAATATTCAGTCGTGTCCATGCTCCGAACTCAATCCCCTCCCCCTTCCTTTGCCATGCGGCTTGCTTGCAGGCAAGCCGACAGCAGTGTGAGAAGCAGGAAGCGGAGTTGAAGACGCTGAAGCAGCGAACGAAGGCGTTATCGCGTGACTCGGAGCAAATCAAGGCGCTCCAGGCAACGGTGGATGACCTCAATGCAAAGCTCAAGGTAACCGATTTTTTACACTGCCGCAATGGCACGTGTTGCTGTTTGCTTGCTTCCACGTGCGAGGTACTGGCTGAAGCGCTGACCACGTTCGCTTGCGTCCAACGTCTGCGTGCGTGCGTGTGTGTGTGTGTGTGTGTGTGTGTGTGTGTGTGTGTGTGTGTGTGTGTGTGTGTGTGTGTGTGGTGACAGGAGGCGAAGGCGCTCGGAGATGAGCGAGCAAAGACGCTGCAGCAGGCGCGCGCACAGATCAAATCGCTCAAGGAGCGAACGGTGAAGGCGGACGAGGAATCAACACAGATGGACCGCTTGCGAGAACAGCTCCACGAGCAGCGAGAGGTGCGTCACACACTCACACACACATGCACACGCACACACACACGCACGCACGCACGCACACACGCACGCACAGATACACACGCACGCACAGATACACACGCACACGCGCAATTATGTACAATGTACATACCAATTCATCTTGCACCACCGCACACCGCGAAGATAATCTGTGTTCGTTTCTGTGCTCTCACTGGCTTGCGTGTGCAATTTGTGTTTTGGTGCTGGTATTAGCTGTATCGAACGACAAAGGTGTTCCTGGACAGCAAGACAAAGGTCATCCAACAGAAGAACGAACAAATCCGCGCTCTGCAAGAGAGAGGTTGGTGCAGTGCAGCTTTGCTTCTGCCAGTATCATCATCTCGTCATTGTCGTCGTTGTTGTGATCATTGTCGCGTGAACGCTGCTTGGCTGTACCACTGCGCAAGACTCGTGTAAGGGTGAAGCGCAAGGCGGTTGCACCCATCACTCACCACCATCATCACCACCGCCATCACAACACCAATTGACACCACCACCACTACCCGCTTCTGCCGTGAACAGCTGCTGCGTTGGAACAACAGGACGAGAAGCGAGCGCAGATCCTGGAGACGCTCTTGGAGCGAACGACAAACTTGCAGGCGCAAATGGCCGAGCCAGACCCGTCCCTCGCACTGGAGGCATCACCATCACGCCGCCGCACCCTCAGCTCATCGCCCACGGGCGGTCGAACGCGTCGCGGCAGTGCTGGCGGTGCCCACCACCCGCCCGACACCAACGGCACCCTGCGCACACCGCACCACCAGGGGAAGACCCCAAGCAGAGGTGCGCTGTCAGTGTGCGCTTGTTTGCTTGTTTGTGTGTGTGTGTGTGTGTGTGTGTGTGTCTGTGTGTGTGTGTCTGTGTGTGTCTGTGTGTGTCTGTGTGTGTGTGTGTTGTTCCTTGGCCGTCGCGTTCGTGACTGCCTTCTCGCCAGGTGGTCCTTGATGAAGCCTCACGCCATGTCTGGTCTCCTCTTCCAACGTCATGGTCACTGCCAGGCGCTCGCCGCACGTCGCGCACGGCCCAGAAGCCGGTGGGTGCCTTGGTTTGCTTGCCTGCAAGCGACAGCACGCCCCTTACTGCACAGACACAACAAAGCCTCTGGTTTGTGACTTCTCATCTCTTTCCGTCACGCACAATGATGCATCGTGTGTGTGTGTGTGTGTGCGCGTGTGTGTATGTGTGTATGTGTGTGTGCAGATGTTTCCTCCTATTTCGCGCGGATCAATGGCGTCGCAACCGCTGAACATCGACCAGGAACTCAAACTTGAGGAGGTCGGATATGGTCTCGCATTGTGTGTATGTATGCATGCATGCATGTGTGTGTGTGCGTGCGTTTCCCTCTGTTTGTGCGTGTTCGCAAACGGCAATGACAACCAACTACAACCACAACACCTTCATCCATCTCCTTCTCATCTCGCGCGCTCCCCCCCCCAAAAAAAAACCCGCCTTTGAAACAGGTTGACGCGGCTGCGAGCCACGTGCGGGTGGGGGATCGCGTCCTTGTTCGCGGTCCTCTTGTTGATGGTGTCGTCAAACAATACACTGGCGTGGTGCGTGGCTTCTCTGCGGTTGCCTGCCTGCATGTCCCTGTCCCTGTGATGGCGGTGCACCCAATACGCAACACCCAATTCGCAATATCCTTCGGTCACTTGCTGCTTCCAACAAGCACACGCCCGCGCTCGAACTTACGTCACCTGCCAACACCAATACCAATTCCAACTGCAGGTGAAGTATGTTGGCCGGCTGGACAGCGAAGTGATTGACTACAACATCTACGCGGGCCTGAAGATGGACGACCCCATTGGCGACACAGACGGGCTCTTCAAGGTCCTGCATCACAGCAACAATGTGCCATCACACACACACGCTCACGCACGCACGCACACGCACACGCTCACATGCACGCTCACATGCACGCTCACATGCACGTACGCATTTTCCCTCAGGGCAAGCGCTATTTTCGGTGTCCCGAGCGACACGGCCGCTTTGTGGCCGTTGGCGATATCATCAGCGTCGTCGCTTCGAGGGTGGGTTGCCTGCTGCCTGTCTAAGGCACGCAGCAACTGGCACGGGGCTGCTGCAATATGCAACAGAGTGTGGCACACATACACTTGTATCTGTCACACACACACACACACATATGTATCTGTAACTCACACACATGCGGCCCCTTTCAACACCCGCGCGCGCGCGCACGCACACACACACACACACACATATATATATATATATATACATTCATACACACACAAACACACACACACATACACATGTGCAGGCACCACGCCGCCGTTCTGTGCGACAAGAGAATAAGTCGACAACAGCGTGACTGTATTGTCGCTGAGTCGGTATTGTCTGGTTTTTTCTCCCCTCCCCTCTTCCCCCATCCACTTGCGCCATTCGTTTTATTTCTGCTTTGCATTCGTTACATGAACGTGTATTTGTGTGTCGTTTGGTTGTGCTTGCTTGCTTGCTCGTCGTTTTGTGATCGCTCTTCGTATTCTTGTGGACGTTGTGTTTCATTCATTGCCCCGGTTTGATTACTTTGACAACTCCCCGCGCCCCACACGTGTCTCTTGTTGCCACGAGTGTATGTATGCGATTGATTGCTCCTCCCTCCGCTCCTACGCCCTGTTTGTTGCGTTGCTGTGCGTCTTGCGGTCTTTCATTCAATGTCTGCACACCCACTGCCGAGGTCAGTGGGAGGTATTCTTTCCTGCGAGTACACCAACATTACATAAACAACAACAACAACAACAACAACAACAACAACAACAACAACAACAACAACAACAACAACAACAACAACACGGTTCGGCTGCTCTTGCTTCAGATCAATGTACAGCACGAGGGCGTTTTCCTTACCTGCCCTTCCACTGCAACTCCTGGCTGGATGGTCGTGGTCTTGCTCCGCTCCTGTGTCGTCGTCATGTTAGCACCATCACCATCGTCATCAGCATCGGTTGTTGCCTGCCATGCTGCTGCGTGCGTGAGGATGAAGCGCAGCAGCAGTTGGTGTTCATCACTGTCACCACGAGGTGGTGGCGGATGTGTTGTGGCGACGGTGGCGACAATGGTTGTCGGGGCAACTCTGGCCAAGAATCGCAACAGAAGCCCCTGCTCGCATGTCAGCACTGCCGATGGTAGTGACGTGCCGACGCGCCCAGCACTTGCTGCGCTGCCAGCGTGCTTGTCACTGTTACCGCTCTCCCTATGCTGCTGCTGCTTGTGCATTAAGCGTTGCACATATGTCAAGTTTGCCTGTGTTGTCTTGGTCATGGGGTGCTGTGGGCCCATCGTGGCAAGCATGACAGTCAGTGCTCGTTCCATGTGCTCTGCTGCGGGTTGGAAGTGCCCGTTTCGCATGTACAAGATGCCCGTGTTGAAGACGGCTTGTGCCTGGAGATGGTGCAACGTGTATATAGAGCGGGCAGGTAAGCGTCAGCACGCCGTGTGGTTGGAGCAAGCATGACGAGCAAAGTGAGCGAAATCAATCGAGCGGGCGGGGAGGGGGGATGCGAGGATGTGTGGCGGAGGTGGGAGGGTGATTGTCACTTTGTCATGAGACTATCGTGGCAAATGGAATAAATAACAAGCCTCTAAGCCTAGTCACACAAACAAGCATACACACACACACACAGACTCACCCAGACACAGACACACGTAGACACGTAGATGCACACACAGACATACACTACAGGAACACACATACCGTTGTTGGGTGTGTTGGGCCCAGCACCGCCTCAAGCATTTTCTGTGAAGTGGTAACGTGCTCAATGGCCTTTGCCATGTTGCCGGTTTCCAGGTACGCGTTTGCCACATTGCCGTGCATGTTGGCCGTGACAGGGTGCTGTCCCAATGTCGTGGTGAGGATCTCAAGGGCCTTCAACTGGCAGGCAATGGCATCTTGGTAGCGCTCCATGTCAGCATACACGTTGCCCAGATTGCCGAGCACCTGCGCCGTTGTTGGATGCTGACTTTGATCGATGTTTTGGATGGCCAGGGCCTTCTCCAGTGCAGCAATGGCCTTGTCGTACTCGCGCGTGTTGCGGTACGCGATGCCCAAGTTCTGGTAGGTGGGGACAAGCTCGCGATCGTTGGGTGGCAGCGTTTCCTCCTTGATTTCGATGGCCTGTAAGTGATATGCAATCGCCTGTGGAAATAGCCCTTGGTGGTGTGCCAATTGGCCCAGGTTGCCGATTGTGTTGGCCGTGGATGGGTGTCGCTTGCCCAAGACGGCTGTCTTGATGGCCAGTGACTGCTCAAACGCCTTCTTTGCTGCGGAGAGGTCCCTTTTCGCAGAGTACGTCAAGCCGAGCTGGTTGTAGGTGTTGGCAACCATGGTGTTACGCTCTCGCTCGCTGGCCGATAGTGCGTCGCTGTTTTTCAGAACCTTTGTCAACGTGGCGATGGCGAGGTCTGTGGCGTTGAAGTTCCAGAAGACGGTGCCAGCCTGGTAGCAGAGCAGCACAAAGTCGCGCGTGCCGCTCTTTCCGGCCGCCTCGTCCTCGTCAATCAGGGAGGCGAGATGCTGCAGGCACCACGATCGCATTTGGTCCTTCACCTTCTCGTTGAGGTGTGCAAATCCAACGCTTGCCTGGATGGTCTTGAAGATCATCTCCTTGTCCTTTGGGTTCCAGGCCTCCGCCTTCTCCGCCTGCACGCGGACGAGCGTGTCGACGACGGCGTCGAAATCGTCCATCACGGCCGTGCGAAGTGAGGCGCGCTCTGCCTCAGGGAGCTGGATGGTCAGTTTCACGCCCTCGCCGCTGAGGCTGCAGAAGATTTCCCACAGGCACCACGCACGCGTCAGTGGGACGGGGTCACTCCACGGCGTCAGCACCAGCAGCACATGGCCGATGGATGCAATTGATTCCTTGAATGTTGTGCTCCACCTTTGGCAGGCGTCAGAGTCAGTGCGTGGGTGTGTTGGGGTTGAGGGGGATGCTGGGTGGTGCGAGTGAAGGAAACACACACGCACCTCCATCCACAAATCCATAAACGCCCACATACACAACACACACGCACACACAACACACGCACAACACACAAACACACATACACACACACCACAACACACAAACACACACACCACAACACACAAACACACACACATACAACACGCACACCACAACAAGACAACACACAAACACACACCACAGCACACACACACACACACACACACACACACACACACTGACCAGTCTTGTGGGAGATCTGCGGCAATGTTCTGGTTGTTGATGAAGAGATCGAACCAGAAGAAAGGCTGACGATGCTCTTGCTGCGCATCTGCATACTCAAGCATCGTTCCCAGCACGTCAGTGATCTTGTATCTCCATGCATGGGAGACGAAGATGTTTGCCCGGCCCACATCTTGTGGATGCTCCCGTTTGATGACATCCGAGTACGCGCACTGTGCGTCCCTTGTGCGTGGAATCACAACCTTGTCACACACGTCCTTTGTGGTGAGCGATGCGTAGTCGCTCGGGTGCTCCGCCTTCACCTCGCTCAGGAACCGCCGCACAAACGCAGCAGACACTCCCACCACATCCATTTTGCTTGCTTGCTGCTTGCCTTGGTGTTTTGCCTTTTGTTGTTGGTTGTCCTTTCGCTCCTTCTTTGGCTCGCTGCATTTTGTGCTGTTTTCTTCATCTTTGCCGCCGCCATCGCCGCCGCCGTACACCTTCCCTTGTTTTGTTGTTGGGCTTGTGCATCTTGCCTTTGTTTGTTTCGTGTGTGCGAGAGACGCTTTCTGCGCTGCTGCAGAGCCAGTCAACCAGTGTTTGTTTGCTTCTTGTGCTGCTCTCAAGACCGCACTGCCACCATGCACATTTCCGTCGGGGGCGTGGAGGAGTTGACTGAGGTCAAGGTGCGTATCTGTAATCGTTGGTGTTGTGCAACACCCGCATGTGTGTTTGTGTGTGGTGCATGGGGATGCATGTGTGTGTATGTGTGTGTGTGTGTGTTTCACTGGCTTGTTTGTGTTGTGGAATGTTTTGGAGCTCGTCTATATATGTGTGTGTGTGTTTCACTGGCTTGTTTGTGTTGTGGTGTGTGTGCCTCCTGCTTGTACAAGCAGCAGTGGCTGGTCCGATCCCTGCTCACCTCGAAATACACCTTACCCAATCTTGAACCCTCACATCGCTCACTGTCCGCCTGCACGATTTCCGATGCCACGTCCCATGTGTCTTCTTGTCTTGTGCTTGCAGCCGAAGCGCAACGTCACTGAACGCTACGTGTCGTACAAGATCCACATCAACGGCACCTACCACTGCTCTGCGCGATACAGCCAGCTGGCCCAGCTCCACGAGAAGTTGAAGCGCGAGTTTGGAGCCGGCTGCTTGGACAAATTTCCGCCCAAGAACTTCTTCTACCTCAAACCAGACGAATGCCATGGTGTGTGTGACCGCATCATACCACTGCATGCACACTGCATGCGTGCATCTGCTTGGGTGTGAGCATCGGTGCCGTGCACATCGTGCACACCTTGCACATCGTGGGCGTGAAACCTGCAGTATCTGCATTGGAGATGGCTGTCAGCTCTGTTGCATGTTTTGGAGCAATCCCCCTCTCCGATCTCCTTCGCTCACCCACTCACCCACTCGCTTGCCTTCTCACTGCATCCCTTATGCTCCCCGCCTCACTTCCACACGCAACGCACATGTGTCCGTGTTTGGTTTTGTAGATCGACGCTTCATGCTGCAGAAGTGGCTGCAGAAGATTGCACAACAGCCCCGCATTGTGAAGGGCAACACCTTTCAGACGTTCCTGTTGAACGCCCAGAAAGAGGTGCAGAAGGCCGAGGAGTCGTGGGTGCAGCTGGAAGTGTACCTTGTCAACGGCAAGAAGGTTTCCGTTGACATCATGAACATTGACCAGACAGACGACGTGCTCGAGACTGTACGTGCCTCGCGTGTGCACGCGTTCAAATGCTGTTCGCACTGCGCTGGAACGCCGTGCATGACTGCCGTGCATGACTGCGCCCTTGATTTCCCGCTGCCATTACCTTGCTTCCTGGATGCCCCAACACTCAAGCATTAGCCTCCCCCCTCCCCTCAACGCGCGCGCGTACACACACACACACACACACACACACACACACACACACACACACACACACACACATATGCGTGCATGCTGTGCTCTGTGCTGTACCTTGACACGTACCTTACGTACTACTTTAGGACTGTTCCTCGTCGACGACATCGACAGGTAAGTGATCATCCGCAAAGTCGCAAGATTGTTGAGTTCCTCTTACATCCTCTGCTCTGAGCGCGCAGAGCCGCATCA